AAGAACTTCATAAAGGGAATACAATTTTTATCAGTGTAGGATTCTCAGCCGATTTATGCTTGTTTGCTTGTGTGATCTCTATTGTCGTAATATTTCAGTTCACAAAAAATGGTCACAATAGTCGCATTCGCAGTCTGACAAGATTGACCACTTCATTATACTCCAATTGTGGTACAAGAGTATATTAAGTTCAGGTGGATGTATACAACATCCAGAAGAACTTGAGATAGGGCTACCTTTTATTATATTTGTGTTATTATATAAGTCTATCTGTCCCTCTGTCTATCTTGTTTTCTTGTGTTCAACCGACTGTTACAAGTTGGTGTACAAAGACGAACCCTATTAAAAATGGATCGGACACCTATTCTTACTACTTCCCATATATTGCCTTAATTTAAGAAATCGCCCTATGAATATGGTGTAGGATATTTCATGGTAGGCCATGGCCCAGCAGTTTTTAAGATATTTTGGTGAAATTTATATATATATTTACATATGTATATCAAATGTGAACACAGAAAAACGAAGAGAGTTAAACGTACGGATGGGTAGACATACTTAAATCGGTCAATAAAATGATTCGGAATAGTTCGGTTTAATGTAAGAGTGGTCTTTCTTAGACTATTCTGGTTGTTGCGTACATGCATACAAACTTGGTACCAACATCTCTTCTAATTAGCATATCAGCAAAGGTCTAATTTGCTTGCTATCAGACTGACAATAGGGATGATCTGGTAAATTGTAAAAATGAATTTGTGATTTGCCTCTGCCACGTCCTTAATAGCTAAAAATGTGCATTTAAAACTTATAAAACGTGCTAAATCTAAACCGCATCAAAATATTTTCTTAATCCAATTAGGAATTTGTATGAATAATGCCCATGTGAAGTGTTGTGAGGTAATGATCGCCTAATTACTTTCACTCTGTAAATAATTTTTCGTAAACAAAACCCGACAAAACCCTGCAAAATAAACCCGACTTTAATTAAGAAATACTCCGACGGACATGCTACAGAAAGAATTTTATATAACAATATTTTGCGTTGTTTGAACATATGAACAGCAATAACGTAAGTTATTACTGAAAAGTAATGGATACTCCTATTGCGTGAATCGTTATATTAAATATATAGTTAAAAAGTAGGTAACTGCAATTATTCGAAGGAGGCATCTTCGATAGCCGAATCTATTAGGTATTTTCGCTGATCCTGAGAAATATCTGTACCAAGTTTTGAAATCAGTTACTACTATAGTGCGCACCGCAATCCTTTATTAATTAATGTGGAAAACAAGGTTCAAGATAATAGTTGCTTTAGCCCGGGGAGATAGACAAGCGAATGTGCAGAAGGAATGCAAACAAGAGAATTCATGACACCAATTGGGTAACGCTTAGTGTATAAGTTACATATGAAAACAAAAAAAAAAAAAAAAGAAGAGAGTATAATAGAAGAAAATTACAAGACTTGCGGTGCATAAAGAAAAAGAATGAAAATAATAATTAAAACAGCACAAATGACCAGTGATTGTCGAATCGATTTGGAAACGTCTCCTTCTTATTCATTAATATGTATATCGATTTGAAGAATTTGAAAATACGAAACCGACTTACTTGTTTGCACACATAACTTGAAGATAGATAGCATATGCTCCATAATACCTAATGACCGTAAAAATAAAGCGTCAGATTTCAACAAAAATGTTTAAGAGAGTTCTTAGAAAGCCTATTTTCAGAGAATCTGTGTGTTTATTTAGCAGTTCCTACCTTAAGCCGTTCGCCAATCTATTTATCAGTTGTAAATTTAGGAAATGTCGACGGAGAAATCTGCAATGTCACTGCACAATCTTGATGCATACTTACAATCTTACGAATCTAATTTATATACGTGCAAGCAATTAAAGTGCTTAGTCAAAAATTAGGACAATCTTGAAAATAATTGCCTCTTGCGCTGTTGTCGTTAATAAATGACCGTAAACGATGCATAACTGACGTTCAACAGGTAGCTCTATAATAGCCGTGCGAGTTTTTGTTGGCAAGTTTAATCATGCGTAGATTTTCAATAAACTTATTTATGTTAGAGTAATCGAAGAGATTTGAGGCCAGACTAGACTTCCAGCAGAGATTAAAACTAGAAATAAATATTGTTACTTACGTTTAGTATGTATTTCAATATGTATTTTTAATAAAAAAATGTAGTTATATTTTCTGGAGGTTCTTGTATAAGCAACGGGGTCGAAATTTGCCTGAAATTTGAACAATGTTTACATAAAATGAGATGAAGAGGATACTTTCAAAGAAGAATATATTTACTTAATTCTTATATATTATCAAACTGACTCTAAAGTTTTAAAATTTCGCATAAATAAGTCCTAATGCAGAAAGCAAGCAAGACGTAGACAGACGTAGACGAACAGACAAACATATTTATATTGAATTTCATAACATTAACTAACAAAACGTTTCTTTCTTCTAAACCACTATCACATTTGGCATATCCTCTTTACGAGCGAGAACCAACTTAAAAAAATTTTAAATTTAGTTAACAGCTCTCTATATGAATGGTTTTTCTTTCGCCAAGGATTTAAAATCTTTCTTATGTGCATAAAAAGCATAAATAACCTTGATTTAGTAGTAACAGACATTACAGCACAATCATACGTAAGCAACAGTATGTAAAAACGTTTAACAGCGACTCCATCAAATCTCTAACCACTCTGCCCTCTAATAACAGAAAGCGTTACTACAATAATATAAACATAAATTACAATAAATTTCTAAAAAAGAGAGAAAACACGTACATGTGTTGAGAGACACACGACTATTTCAGCACAAACACCTGCTTAACAAGAGTAAATGATTTCTGTAAGAGTGTGATTAAATAGCGTTGTTGTTGATAGCAATTTTATGAGAAATTTCCTAATAAATCTTTGTTAAGTGAGATAAGCAAAGCTTTCAGATAATAAAGCTCTCGCTTAATAACGACTTGATACCTATAAAATTTGTTGCTATTGGACATTTAAAGTAACCCCCCACATACTATACTATATTTACGAGCTCTCTTTTGCGTTCAATCTCCTCGGGAAACGTTAGCTCTCTTTCAATACAATATGGAAATACTTTTTTCTACTTTCGTTTTGATGTTTTGGTTTATTTGTTGCCTTCAATCAAAACAATAAATCAAAACAGAGAGTCGTGTGTGTTTTTATACGCCAAAGCGCGCATGTGTTTCTTCTTTTATGAGAAATTGATAAAAAATTTTAAAAACACATTCAATTTTACAAAAATAGACATAATTTTAAATAAATTATTTAAAAGTAATTTTAAAAATTTTAATTAATTATAAAACTAAAAATAAAAAAGAAATTAACATAAAGTCTTTTAGTTAAGAGCATCTAAAGCAGGAGCATGCGCTTTACTGTTTTTTTTTTTCAAAACGTTGAGTTTAATTACAGACGAAACAAAAGCATTTATCAATATATTGTGGAGGGAAACCGAACGCTCATTTTTCATTTCTGCCAACAATATTATATTTATACGGGTAAACGCTCTCTTCCTCTTTCTCTCACTCTCTCCCTCTTTCTCTCTTGCTGTCAGACTCTTTTCACATCGGTTTTCGTCCGTAGATAAGAGTGCAAAGAGCCTTTTTATTTAATAAACACATATGCATTGCATGCAGGATTTCGTTTCTACGCTGTTGTTGTTCTTTGCATTATACATATACTCCTATATCTCCTTCATTATTTTATATGATGATGGTTTCAATGTTTGCACAGAGTATTTTTTTCTTCAATTTTTGTTTTTGTTGGTACGTTGTGTAGTGTCTATAGTTGTTGTTATTGCTGTAGTTATTTTATTTCTACTGTTATGTTATAGTTTTTCTGTCGTGATTGTTGTGTGTTTTGTGGGCTGTCAGCTCTCAACGTTGTCAGTGTCAAAAAGATGTTTTAGTCGACAACATAACGCTTCAACGAAATCATGTCGAATTATTTTATTATTGTTATTATTATTATTATTCAATTGTTGTTGCTTTTGACCTATGGTTATAAAGTGTATACTTCGCAGTTATAAAAGTGTAAATGCAACAAAAAAGAAAAGCATAATTCCGTTATTAAAAATGTATTTAAGCCTGTGCAAAAATTAAAAGAGTCAATCATTTTGATGAATTTGCCTTTGCAAACACACAAGGCAAGACAAGACGTCGTCAAGCGTCATAGTTACTCAAAAGCTTAAACATGAAATGAAAAATATACAAAGTAAAAAAAAGAAAGAAAAAAGTGCAATTTATTACATTTGATGTGTAGTGTGTAAATATACGCATGCATGCTTTACTGCGCAGTGTTATGTGATATGTATTACAACAAATAGTTCGACGAAAATATATACACAGCGGCCAACCATGCCGACAAACATGCACATACGCATTATTGTCTGCTTCGTTTTATTCGTGCATGTGTGCGTTCGTTGCATTGTTTAGACAGGCTAGCTTATGGTTAACGGAAAACCAATTTTCACTTTAGTCGCTAATGAGACTTTGTTATGGCGACACTTTATCAATAACACGCAAAAACATAATACAATCTCTGAACACAAAATAAAATACAAATAAATACGTATTTAGGAATAAGAAAAAAAAAAAGTTTTCAAAAAACTTTGAATTTTTTCTCTCAACTAGTCATCAAAAAAAAAGTTGTAAACAAAAATTATTTAAAATAATTCAATAAATAAGTAAATAAATAATAATAAAAAAAAAATGCTGTGATTTATTTGTTGATTTAGTTTTACTTGAAAATAATAATAATAATAATAATAATAATAATAAAGAATAATTAAAAATATTCACAAAGAAACCCTTAAAAAACATATCAAACGGTAAAAAGGAAACAGTATTGAAGAAATATACCAGATAATAAATAAATCAAAAAAAAAAAAAAAAAAAAAAAAAAAAAAAAAAAAAGAGAACTGAGAACTGAGAAAGAAAGTAAAATAATTACTAACTCAACAATAAAACTTAATTATTAAAAATAAGTAAATTCTGAGAAAAACACTCATTCACTCACTCATCCACTGCCATCGAGAAAGGGTGAAATGATATAGAAAGCACAAGGAAAGAAAATTTTACCAAAATACTCTAAGAAACTTGTCATTTATTAATAAAATGTCTTAACGACAAACATACATAAATGTCAGTTTGTCAGTCAATCAGTCAGTCAAGAACAACAGCAATCCATGTATGACAGACAAGCAGAGAGCAGTCATATAACCCAACAACAATCTCGTTTTGCCTTTCGTTCTCTTTCTCGCAATTCTTCAGCTTTTCACTTGGCAAACATTTCACATAATAATGAAAATATTGCAATGCCAGCAGTGTCAAGTCCGTATTTGTGTTTGCCTGTGCGTGTATGCTTGCATGCGTGCGTATGTTCACGCTTCTGCATTTGACCATTGTGACATTTGATTTATTTGACAAGTGTACGAGCATATGACAGTGCGGGTGTGGATGTTTATCTACATACGTATGTATGTAACGGGAAGAGAATGTTTTTGATTGAAAGCCCTCTAATAAATATTGAGCCCGAAGCAAATCGATATTTACAGTATGAAAAGCTGCCAGCGTTTTGCTGTTAACAATCAAACAATGAGGACCAAAGTGTAAAGAACTTCAACAGCGGAAAAGAAAAAAAACTTGAAAACAAATTCATCAAAAAAAAAAAACGCTTTAACAATTTTCAAATAATAAGATTGTGGAGAAAGAAAAAACAAAAAAACAAAACAAAAACAGTTCCCAACCAAACACTTTTGCTTTCCTTTAACAAGTGTCTCTGAAACTAAGCGCTTGTTGATTATATAGCCATTCGATGTTATGTTTACAATTGTTCGTGACGATGTTTGTACGTTCTGTTTGCGTTTGTGTGTGTGCCTATGCGTATGTATGTACATTAAATTTCCGCGTGTGCGTTCGTTTGCTCGTTTGTTAACCCCTTTTCGCAAGATACAAAAGTCACATTGATAGACGTGTGTATGCATATGTGCTTGTTTATGTTAGGGAGCTCTTAGTTGAGCGCTACACATACATTATCATCGCCTATTATTAAAGCACTTCCATGTGTGTAGTTATTTTATGTGCTCATGAGTGTATAAATAAATGTAAATCATGATGCTGCACGAGGCTGTTATGCTGGAAATCTATCGCCAGGCATTGAGTGCAAGGTGAATAATATCATTGTTCACTGTTCACTGTTTTATTTTTACAATTATTTAATTTAACTTAACTCCTTTCTCGTAAATTTAATAAATTTATTTTCAAAGAACATAGAGCTCAGTGTCAAGTGCCTGAGGATTGTTTTAAATGCTTGCAAGAGAAAAGCGAACCAAGTGGGCTGTTGGGCACTCACTCTAAAACAAATATTGAGTACTCAATACAGCTTGCGAATTAGTCTGATTATCTGTTGCTCTAACACAGCCATGTTTGTCATGATTTAACTACTTTGTCTTTTGACAAAAGTTTATTTTGGAAACTTTAATGGACTTGATTATCAAATTAGATACAAAACACATAGTTTTCGTTTATGAATAATCACCAGAATTTTGGCTGTAAATTTAGAGCGCAGTATGTTTGTGCTTAAATGCAGTAAGAAGAGGCTCAAAGTATTCAAACCATAGGAAACTTTTATTTTCTCTACTTTTTGAGAATTTTTGGGAAAATGTTGCATGAATAAATAGAAATCATATCAATTTATTTTCTACCTCAAATATAGATTTATCAGAATGAATGAATGTTCGTTTTAAACACCCAGACTGATCCTCTTATAATTTTTAAGTAATCGTAAGAACTGTCTGTTATCACATTAATTAAGGATCACTTTGTTATCCGCCACCGTTCAAATGTGTTTCACAAATAATTTCATGCCTTGGTATGAAATTTACAAAGGGATGAGACAGAAGAAACAAAGCGTGATTGGGAGAGGGGCGCAAGGGGCTAACTTTTTATGCATATGTATAAATATTCAATATGCTCACAACACTTCCACATTCACAAATGAATGGTCACATTGTCTATATATATATATGTTTATATATGTATATATATATATATATATGTTTATATATACGTTTACATATATATGCATGTGAACTTGGAAGAGCAAGAATTGAGAAATAGGAAAGTAAAGCTTCGCGATTGCAAATCAGTTAAACAGTCATTCAGGTCAACTCATACGCGTTTCGTTGGAATATTAAGAAGACCATGCTTTCTATAAGCGAATGGATTGAATTCTTAATACGAAAAAAATATAACTTTTATTCCCAACTTAAGAAATATGTTGCATATATTAAACATGTTACATATACTAAACATTTTCAGAATCAGCGTGAACAGTGGAGTTACGACTTGATCTAGGCGAACAAACTTGTTCTCAAATCTTTTCTTATTGTTTGCGCCAGTTAACGCTTGAATAAAATCGGTCCTTGGCTCGAACATGGATGCCCCAAACCGAACGAAATAATAATTAGGAATACTCACGAAGTAGTTTCAGAGATTTATTCATTTATTCAGCTACATATAAGAATTATCAGCAGCTACTGAAATAACTTAGACCATGAAAAGAAGAGTATTGCAGCAGATCCAAAAGGAAAAAATAGTAGGCAACGACAAGTAATAGAGATGATTAAACAGACTACAGTATTGTAGAGCAAAATGATATAGAAAGAGTTCAGCGAGTCGAAAAGGAGAACCAGCTGTATAACCTGCAAGAGGAAAAGCATAACAACGAGTATATGCTTCATTTAATCATATTAAAATTATATAAAAATCAGTTAAGTTGCCTCTGCCTCAAATCAGAGTATGGAGTAGTAGGGATGCTAACGGCGTATCCGTGGAAGAGCATCTTTTTTACATGTATAAAATCCAGCAGCGGTCAAACAAATAAAGATTAGTATATATATATATTAGATGTAAAGAAATCTGGAAGGGTTCTGAAGACGATAGTTTGTGCGGCAGTGTGACAAGTAGATTGCTTTACAATGCCTACGAGGCACACTAGAATAGATTCTCTAACGTAGAAACGGGAAGCAGGGCTTACACCTTTAATCAATTCAACAATAAAGACATGATCCACATCTCACGTCTAGTTTTCAGTGTAGGAGGGTCAATGGGCGTTGGTCTACATTTATAAGGGGAATACCATCCTAAGCCCCATAGCGAAAAGAGTATTGCTAGAACTTGCAGTTTATGGTATGCCAGCTAAACTAGGCCGTGGAATCCCATTCCCTTATAGAGAGCTTTACCCTGCGCTTCACCACTACCTATTTGTTTACTTCAAGTTCTTGCAAGTGTTTAGCACACAGCTTTGTTATTTTATATTTCTTATGAATTTTAAAAACATCTATTTAAACTCAGCTCGCCGTTACAACTTTTTATAAAAAAGTAAGACAATCATATTCAATAATATTATATTAAAACACTAAACAAAAAAAGGAGAGAAAATTAAATTTCCATACTCTGTAATGGTGAACGGACCCGGGAGATTCTTTTTCTTTATATGTAGTTACCATAGGATCATTTTTATAACATACGTTGAAATTTTTATCGCTGCACCTGCTCTAGTGTACGAGTGATAAGCGAAAAAACCAAAAAATTTTATGGTTTCCGAGTTTGTTGTAGTTATGGTCATACCCCTCGACGGTTTTGGCCTTTTTCAAAGGCAAACTGCGTTCAACAACTTCTAATGAGCTCGGCAGATTCGAAAACGATAATGTCTATTTTTACCGCACGCAATCGAACAAACAGACAAGCGGAGTGATGGAATGAATGAGGGACATCGTTAGATCGAGTCAGCATCATATATTGGTCATATATATACATAGTTTGTAAAATGTCAGAATCTCCCTTATGGTTTTCTTAACACTCTTGATCAAGCACAAGTTTTAGGCATAAAAATCGATTTAATAATTCTTTGTTGATAGTATGGCAGCCTTAACAGGTATTGTTATTTTTATCCCATCTTTTGTACTTTTCTCACAAGGGTATATTAAGGTTGTGCGTATGTATGCAATGTCCACAAGAATTTGAGATAGACTCACCGTCTGTTCATCTTGTTGTTTAGTGTTCACTCTACTGGCTCTAATTTTTGAGTTATTTTAGAGAAAGCGGCTTCAATTGGACCCCTTTTTCGAGCAAGTCCCACATAACAACTTATTTTGAGAAGTCGTTATATGAATAATCGTATTAAGGCAAAGGGTGTAGGGTATGTTTGTAATAGTAGAACGTGACCTAATATTGTGTCCAAGTGTAGTGATATTAATCTTTCTATTAACGAAAGGTCAAAATATAGATCTATCACCTCGCAGTATTCCCCTAACTTAACATATTATTATTTACGTGGTACTGTTATCTCTCCGAAAAACAATTACCTGTGACGTTGGTAGCGTTTATAACCACCATATACCGCATTTATCCGATTTTCGATTTTTCCATCACAACCCTTTACACAATTCTCTTAAGATCTCCTATCAAACTTCAAATTGATTTCTTATCTTTTTCTTCCGAGCGTCGGCAAATCCGCAACTGATTATATACTGAGTTGAGCACGTAAGATTATTGAACGTTTTCCTTTTCCTATACTCACATTTGACTTGTTTGGAGTTTGACAACTCCTCTCCGAATGAGTTCGAAATGCTAACCTAACCAAAAGTGTTTGCACTTCAATGTTACAATTGGAATGAAAAATTTTGTATATTAACGTACAGTGCAAAAGGGTAAAAATGCAAAAATAAGTAGTTTTGTGAAATTTGGGGACACAAAATTATTGCTGAGATTGCTCATCGGATCTTGTCGAGTAAAGCAATTTTTTTAAGTTCTAGTACCGATCGCAATGATTCACATTCGCGAGATACGTTTTCTGAGAGCGTAACCCGCACGCTTAAATCTGTACTTTTATTAAGGATTTAGAATTAATTAATTTTATCATACTTTGCTTTACTCTTACTCTTATGCAGAATGCAAATAACATACGCCTTACGCCAGCAAAGCATGCATTATCAGTTAGCCTTGTAGCCTTTTATGCAAATGAACTTTTTCTCTTTCGATTGACTTAGTGGCCATCGCATTTTAACTTTAAATGTGTTATTCTTATTTCATTGCAGTGAACTTGCTAGTCCTCGTTGCCAGTCACGTGAATCTAATAATTCCGTTTCAAATGCACCTGAAGGTCGATGCCCATCCAATGAATCGCATTGCTCAGGCAATGAAAGTAGTAGTACGTCGGCGCAAACACCAACACCAAATACACCACCAGTGGGTCTTCCGTTGCCAGCAACATTGGCACCCGCAGCTGCTGCCGCACTACTGCCACCACAATCAGCTGCAATGGCTGCTTATCTAAATGCAGCTGCTGCGGCCGCACAGCAGAATCATTTGTTGCTTACCAACCCATTAGCAGCTGCTGCCACATTAGTGCAGCAAGCTACACAAGCTTCACAAGCACATTCACCAAGCTCACGACAAACTACATCGCCGCCATCATCTGGTGATTTAGCGGATGCCTCAGCTTTAGATTTTAGCACAAAAAGATCACGACGACATTCCGATGGCGCAAATGGTAGCGATGACGACGGTAACGAAGAAAGAAACGATAATGAACGCGATAACGACACCAACGATGTCGATGCAGATGACGCGAATAGTCCATTAGATTTATCATTAAATGCAAGACGTAAACGTCAATCTGATGAAGACGAGTCACCGATCATGCCAACAAATAAAATACAAAGATCAAGCGATTATAAAACGTTACCCTCCTCTAGTACATGGGTGCCACCAATTAATCCCTACTTGGCAGCTGTTGCAGCAGCTAGCATGTCACCGAAAGCGCCGCTTACATTAGATTGGAATAACAAACCGAAAATATCGCCAAATGAAGCAACCAAAGCTTTAGAGAAAATGACTGAAATGACAAGAATTGGTGCAGCATCGAATGAAAATGAAATGCAATCACGACATTCAACTGCTGGTTCGTCCATAGCCACGAGCACAACAACAGCAAATACATCTACAACAACAAATGGACGTCATAGTGCTTGGCAATCTCATTGGTTAAATAAGGGGGCAGACGCTGTGAGAGATGTTTTCAAATGTGTTTGGTGCAAACAAAGTTTTGCCACATTAGCTTCGCTAACCACGCACATGAAGGAAACGCAACATTGCGGTGTTAATATCCCTCCTAACGTCGCGACAAATAATAGCAACAGCACCAGCAGCGGCAGCGCCAGCAATTGTCCAACAAGCAGTGGTAGTGTTAACAATCAGGCCGTCTCACAACCTTCCTCCCATCATTCGCGACTCTCAATCTCGCAAGGTAACGCGCTAAATGGAAACAGCAATGCAATGACATCAGGCAACAAATCTGATCTAAACATGCTAATCAAAGAGACTATGCCGTTGCCACGCAAGCTGGTGCGTGGACAAGATGTATGGCTAGGCAAGGGAGCGGAACAGACTCGTCAAATATTGAAGTGTATGTGGTGCGGGCAAAGCTTTCGTTCATTGGCTGAGATGACAAGTCACATGCAAGAAACTCAACATTACACGAACATAATATCACAAGAACAAATCATTTCATGGAAGTCTTCCGATGAAAAGGGTTCCAGAGATAATAACTCCGGTAGCAGAGGACATTCGAACGCTTCACCTAGTGTAGCAGCAGCAGCCACTGCTGCTTCAAATTCTACAGTAAGCGCAGTATTAACCTGCAAGGTATGTGATCAAGCTTTTCCAACACTTAAAGAACTGAGCAATCATATGGTAAAGAATAATCATTACAAAGAGCATATGATTCGTACAACGGCAGCGGCTAATGAACCCATGCCTACTATGGTACGTGGACGTGGCAGGCAAACCAAAGAGAAACGCAAAAAGTCATTGCCTGTACGTAAACTCTTGGAAATGGAAAGAGCTCAACAAGATTTTAAATCGTCAAGTCTTGATCAGGCCTTAAAACCTTTACGAGATTTCGCTGCTTCCACGAAAATTACTTGCGAAAAGTGCGGGGAAAAGATTGAAACAGCGCTTTTCGTAGATCATATTAGGCAATGCATTGGAGGCAGTGTAGTCATGTCACCTCGAAATAATCATCATAACAACCATAACAATAAAACAAATCATAATTTAAAAACTTCGTATGGTAGCGGGAGACCGGAAAACTTAACTAGTCCACAAACCGTAAGCGGTCGAAAAACATCAGATGGTCGTATTTCTCCTTTGGCCACAACGCGGTCAGAGATCTTATGCCCTCTGCCACCGGATAATGAGAAGCACACAGAAGGCTCGTCTGTTCTTAATGCATTAGAACAATTGATTGAGAAGAGTTTCGACACAAGGCCACGACATAGCGGTGCATGTGCCGAGTCCTCGTCCTCAAATACTACTTCATTGGGTTCAAGTATTTTGAAACGCTTAGGTATCGATGATAATGTAGATTACACCAAACCCCTTATAGATCCTCAAACAATACAATTCCTACGATCTTACTCTAGTTACCCAGTATTAAGAGATCGTAGTGCAAGCGAATCGAGCTCCATATCAGAACGTTGCAGTAGTCGTCTGGAATCGTTTACCCCGGAACGCAATAGTGAACTATCACGACAACCGACGCCACGATTAACACCCGATAAAAATGCGACGCATGTCAAAGATAATAGAACGGAATCATTGGACAACGTACAAATAAAATCCGAGCCAGTTGAGACCAATGACCTAGAGTCGGGACAACCTGACGAGATACCCGTTAACGAAATACCAAAAAAGATATCCGTGAAAAAAGAATTCACCATGATTGAGAATAACTTGGAGAAATTCAACGAGGCCGACTTAAGACGATACACACTTACGCCAGGATCGCGAGCTATGAGTCCAAGCGTTAGTGAGAGATCTGTAACACCAAAGTCCACATCTTCAGTAAATGAAAAGAAACCTTCCTTGCTTCCACCTCATGAAAGCAGCAGCAGCTTAATTGCGTTGTCTTCAATGTTCAATAGTCTCAACAACACGAACTCCAATGTGAATTGCACTGCATTGGAAAGTAATATGAACAGCCACCACAATAATAATAATGGCCACAGGAATAATAGTAGTAGTGGTAAGAAAGTGAACGCTAATCCTTTAGCTGCTTTGCAAAAGTTATGCGAAACCGCAGACCCGCCTGCAGCTAACACGCGTAGCACATCAAATCATTTACTAACTAATTCAACTGTTCCATTACCTTGCGTACAACCTAGTGGCGCTGGTAGTGGTGGCGGTGGCGGAAGTAGCGGAGGTAGTACTGGCATGTTAGCATTTAGTTGGGCTTGCAATGATGCCATTGTGACAGCTGATGCGATTATTAAATGTTCCTTCTGTGATACACCGTTCAGCTCGAAGGGAGCTTACCGCCATCATCTTTCCAAAGTACATTTTGTCAAAGAAGATATGGATATAAGCGGTGGCGGAGTGGGTGCGGGAGTGGGAATGGGAGGAGGAGGACTAAAATCACCTGGCACTTTGACGGCCGCTTCCCCAAAATCAATGACCTCGCCGAAAAGTGTAGCATCCTCATCCGCAAAAAGTCCAGCAACTCAACGTTTGGAGGCAACACCGCCATCCAGTTCAACGTCAACGCCAACTATAAATCCATATGACGAGAGTCCACAATCCAAGTTTCTGAAATACACCGAATTGGCGAAACAACTCTCGAGTAAAAATGCTTGAAAGTATTAAAGAACGCGACAGGAAGCTTAGAGGTAATTGTCGGAATGTTATGGTCTTATTTTTTTAGTAAGTTTTGTTTGTCAGATGCCTTATCCAAAGTTTTCAAAAAGTACATAACCAGGGCTGAAGAAGAAGCTTAAAGAAAAAGCTTTAATTTGAAGCAAATGAAAATTCATTAAGAAATATTATTCTGGCCTTTGCCACCTTTCCAAGAGACGAACTAAATTCTTGAAATTGAACGAACTGAGACAACAGACTGCTTCCTATTACATGTAAGTTTAGATCAACCCCTTAGCTTGGGCTTAAAAGTGGATCCTCCAAAAAGAAAGCGGAATGCGTTAAAGCGTTTTTACTAAATATTTCTCTGTAATTGCAAAGTGAACGGAATATTTATTGAATTCGCAAAAATTCGTTTACGAAATTACCCAAAACTCTGATTATTAAGACGGCTTACGCAACCATCTTCACCAGCTGTAAACCGTTAACTGACTGCCATAGGTAAATGGTATTAGGTGCTCTATCACAAAAAATGACAGGCCTGTATAGACGGCACCCTACCGAACCTATGGAAAAATTGCCCCCTCTTGAGCGTAAGAGTTGCGCCCGCCTTTAGTTTTATGTCTATTTGAAACTTCACTTTTAACTTCGCGAAAAAAATTGCGCAAAGCGATGAGAGTAAAGGTAATGATCGCCCGTGTTTAAATTTTCTTACATTAAGACGTTCACGTTTGTCATACACATCGCACTTTCCAAAAATTTTTAGCTCATAGAAATATGCACCAAAATTTGTATGCAGTATACATATTCTTGATCAGCGTATATAATAAAGTCATTCGATAAAACGTGTATGCCCCCTCCCCTGTAGAGTCCTTTTTTTTGCAGTAATGTAAAATATTTTGAAACCACAGGCAGATTCTCTTACGCGGCGAATACCAGCCGACACACATACAAACACAAACGTACAATGCGGAATTCCGAATATCTTCAAATGAAATACAAGGGTTTAGTAAGCAGGCTTCTCGTGTATTCATCCTGAATAGAAACAAATGATTTATTTATGGTCAGTATTATGTCTTAGCTACTTCAGCTGCTTTCATATTTACTTTATTCCAACTGTAAACACAGCAAGGATTTTCCAGAAGAATAATATAGTGGGTTAGTTATATATCAAAAAAAAAAGAAGGAAAATTTAATCACAATTTTAGCCGTCGGTAAAAAATCTTTTTTTGCATCGAAGTAAATCATAATTTTTTAAACCAACAATCGATCGCGGCTATAATTTATTTACACTAAATTAATAAATACTGAAAAATGTTAAACACACCCACACGACAAGACAAGAGATGTGGGAGAAAGAAGAAAAAAAAAGGAATATATAGCGTTAACTAAGAGAGATATTAATGTTCACATAATCAACACGAAAAATTTATAAACGTACACACAATTAATTGCCACACTTACTCTTATTCACCTTTAGAAAGAATTACTACAATAATAACAACACTAGCTAAAAATTTTATATACATATACTCGACCTCATATAAAGTTACAACATGCATGCATATGAATGGACGTATATATAAAACAGGTACCCGATGGCTGGCTGGCTAACAGGCTGGCAGGCAGGCTCCTCCTCGCTTATTCAACAAAAATGAAAGAAAACAAAACAAGTAAAATACAAAAAACAATCATATCTTTGACTGCATATACATGGGTGTGTGCATGTGTGACGTATGTAGCCGCTAACAACGGCTTCACCACGTAAACACTGAAAAACGAAAAGAAAAGAAAAAAGCAAACGGACAAGGCAATCAGTCCGGTTAGCATAAAATAACCCATACAATTGTAGCATGAATACTACTACTACTGCCGCCACTATGGCAAAGTCGCAAAAGTATCAGGGACGAAGGCAAATTAATTGAAATTCATTTTCAATTTACAGCGTATACTCACTCATACGTGTATGCTCTGAATAGTGCAGCAAGCATATGCGAGTGGTTTCCTCTTTTCTTAGCAACAATTGTAAACATAACAAACTGCACACACATACAAGAAGGCTATCAAAGTAAGTGAAAAATGTTATTACATTGTTGTGTTTGATTAGCTTCAAGTGTTCAAGACTTCCAAACAAAAAGAAGGTAAACAATACAAGAATTATTCTTGAAAAAATCAACTCACCAACAATCCATCACTTTTACCAATAACAACAATAATTAATTTGAGTTTTATAATAACGTTCAAACAATGGCAAATGCTTTCTCTCATGATCTTCTCTCTGTGAAGAGAAAAAGCTTTACTCTCTTAAAAGGGGAAATAAAGCAAACGCTCAAATGCCTCTTATAAGCAATAAACTTGAAATTCTCCTTTTTGCCAAAAAAACGAACATATAAAACAGGAAACTAAACCAGTTTTTTAATAGTTTTCTCTTTCCAATTTTTGCCAAATTTCATTTCCATTTCGTTCTTGCTTTTAATAAAGCTTTTATACAATATAAAACTTTCATTGTAAAATCTCTTTTACTTAAACAAATATCTAGCTTCGTCTCTTTTTCTCGTGTTTACCGCTAAAAAAATCAATCTTCTCATCCTCTTTGGACTCTTGAACAAGTGCGCATGAATTTGCCTAACTCTTCTCGTCACTGTCTTCATAGACTTGTTTATGTTTCGTTGTTGCTTTCTTTCTCTGCTTGCATATGCATATGTGTGTGTATATTCTGCTTGCAGTTTCGTCGATATAAACTTTTTGATGAACTGCTGTCCATCATGCACTTGTATTGCTTTAGTGTTTGTATTATAAAGTTAGAAAGAGACACCTGTATAAATCGAGCTATGATGAAATGACAAATCAAGCAATACCACCACCAATGCACACGTTTTATTATGGCTTTAAAAAAGCAAAAAAAGCAAATACAAAGCACCATACACATCACTTGAATGCCAAAATAATTATAAAAATAACAACAAAAAACTGAAAAGGGGTGTGGGTTTTTATAAACAACGCAAGACCTTTGTATGCATTGGCAAAAACCAGTATTATTTTGTTTTTCTTCTTTTTTCTTTATTTTTGTTAACGTTTTATTTGTCTCTTTTTCCTTCTCATTGAATATGAGTGTGGAGCAGTCGGTTAGCTGCGCTCTAATGCAGCATAATTGGTTTGGTATTTTGTTTTTTTCTTCTCCCTGTTTTTCAATGTGCAGTCTGATAGACGAATACGTGTGTGTAATGTTTGTTTATCTGGCTAAGTAGACTGATTGCTCAAGTGACAATATAATTATGATTTTGTTAAAGAAAGTGTAAATAGCGCATAAGAAGAAATACTGAACATATCTTTTGGCAATTTATTTACATTCGTACTTCTATTACAGAATTTTTCGAACATTTCTTTTATTCAATTTATATTGTATTCAATAAACCGCGGCCAGTGAAGCCGTGTAAGATGGTAGTAATTAAAAGATTCAGATAACTGAGAGTCAAGTAAATCGATTATATGTATACATCTAACTATCTATCACTTAATTACCTCGGTCCCATCCTAATAGCGAAATTGCTTATTTCTCATACTTCAGCTGTTGATGCCCCTTAGTTGTGCAGATTGTAATGCATTGTATAAAATGTTCGCTTAAATATTACTTTGTATTATAGAATGGATTAAAATTTCGGAATATCTCGCGCAAATTCCTCCCAAGTGTTTCCCAAGGTCCTGATATGTACATTTTCTGTTTATTTCATGCTAAGGGGTTGCATTGGTTTCGAAGAGAAAAAGCAGTCTATATTTTATATATATATATAGAGAATCTATTTCGCTTTCCTTAATAAAATAAAAGAATTATTTAAACTCAGGATTGAAAAAAAGGCAATATCCTGTGAAACTTTAATTTAGAAGGTTTTAAAATTAAGAGGTCGAAGCATAGTGTTCGGAAATCTATTAAAAGAAAATATTCTTGCGGCAGGGTAGGCGACAGGGGCAGAAGAGGACAGATAGCTAAAATACCAAGCTATTTGCCAGAACCTTAGCTTTTGCGACCAGGAAAATGTGAGCAACATAGTTCCAAACAGGCGCACAGACTGACAGATCGACGCGCTTAATTCGATTCGAAATTCAACGCCGATCAAGAATCGGTCGTATATCCGTATTTTTAAAACAAATTCATTTTTACGCTGGCATTTACAGACGGGAGGACGTTTTAAATTCATATATATATTTCCATGATGTGAAAGGCGATTAATACTAAGACGCGTAATAAAATTACTTCAAACCTGATTTGTTGTTATATTATAAAATCATGTAAGCTTTAATGAAACGGTAAGCAATATTTCCTTTGTAACTTCTTTGTTTTGGCTTTGGTTTACAATCTTCAACAGGCTGATATTTGAAATCGGTAGAGATACATTCATCTAGGTCCCTGTACTCTCTTCATTCATCCCTTTCCCTGCGTCATATAAGATCGCGGTAAAATTTACAAATATTTGCGTCGAAAGACATAACTCCAGCAGAAAATTCTGACGATAAAATCGAGCGGGAGCGCTTGACTATTCCAGTGACGAACGGAGAGGCGGTCCTTGTCACTTATGTTAGTTGAATTTAACGTCCAACAGGGTAGAGGAAATCTAAAAATTTCAAGATTTGCAATATATATAAATATATATATATATATATATATATATATATATCATTGCAGAGAAGGTGACTTAAGTGACGTGTAGAAAGAGCATCTGCATGGATAAATTCCTCTCCTACTTTATTTAATAATTTTTTTGTTACAAAACTCGTATTTGGCGTGAATCGTGATTGTTGGACGCTTATTTTACAAAACAGATTCGCACGTGATCGATGGTTGAAGAAATTCACTCTTAAGCGCCTTGAAAACCATCGCGATCATTGAGACATCGGTCGATGAGAAGATGAAACATTATAAAGCATAAGACCATTTGTCCTCTTATAAGGCATCTGACAAAAGAGGTACTTCTGCGTTTGTAAGTTTTTAATTTAAAAAAAAAAAAAGAGAAAAACAATCAAAAAGAAAAGTATTTTAAGTTCCAAAAATTCATTAAATGTGCCAAAATTTTTGTAAAGCAAACACATTCGAATCAGAATTCTATACCAGAATTCTTTTCCTTTTTTTGTGAAACAATTTAAATATAACATAAAGTACGAAATAACATGTATACGTAAAAAATTCAACTGTGAAGAAACCTCATTTTAAGAAAAAATAAAGCAAAATGCCGTTATTATTAATTGTAAAAAACAAAAACAGCATCAAAAAAACTAATTAAAATAAAACTGAAAATGAGTCGTAGCAAAATTCAGGCAATCGGTCCTTTGCAGTAAATGAAAGAGAAACTAAAATTTTGGGAAGAAAGTAATTTGGAAAAGAAAATTAATTTAAATGTATATAAAAAATAACATAATATATATACGTATAGAAACATAAATATCTATATAAAGTTAAAATATTCCACAGATCATTATTTAAAAATTTATCCAGATTTTCGATTTTGTCCACATTCTAAAGTTTAAGAAAATTTAAGTTAAGATCTTTCTGACCTTTGGCCTCTACGTTGGTCTGTTCCTGTTTACAATCTTATTCGGGCCAAGTGTATGAATCGCCTTAGCACCGCTCCCTCCACCCATCTGCACATCTGTTCAAATTTACAAATCAAAATTGAAAGCCAAAGTTTTTAAAAGATATTCTCACTTGATTTCTACACCGAAGACTTGCTAAACGATTACTTATGAAGCTGAAAGCACGAAACACCATTAGAAGCATAGAAGAATCGTGCTTTCGCCCACCACATGCAATCCACAGCAAATGCAGATCTACGCATTCTTTAATAAGATTAATAATTATTGCCACATCAAAAGTCCCCGATCAACATATAGTCTGCAGATTTTCCTACGTGTGGTGTGCCGCAATATAAAATACAACAAATTTGGAAATAGTCGGCTTGCGTTATGTTATCTTGAGGAATCAACACTTTCTTTTTTTCTTTATTTTATCTCATCATCCGAACGCTGCGATAGGTTCGCCCTTTATTGTATTTTCCTTTAAAGATGGACAATGGAAATTATCTCAAGGGTCACCCAAAAGAGGGATACTATGGCAAATGGAACTCGTCTCGTTTGCTTTGGAGCCTATTCTTTGCTTTCAGTCCATCACTTTGACTCTTCTTTCGTCTCAAGCGATGAATAAACTCTGTGGAACAGAGCAGAGAATTCCCCTGGGATTCCTGATACCT